GGCAGTTTGAAGTTGAATAAAATATAGAAGAATTAAATTTAATATAAATTAATTCTAAATAAAATATTGATTAAAATGAAAGTGATGACGATGAAGATATTAATAATTATTAAGAAAAATCTAGTATTAATACCAGTGATATTACAGATTTTGGTGAAATAAGAAGTATTTAAGATTTGGATATAAAATAAAACTCAGATAATATATAAAAAGAATAATTATTGGTAAATGGTTAAAAAAGAAATAATTAAATAAATGCTGATAGTTAAAAATGAAAAAAAAATAAAAAATATTTTAATTATAAAATATTTATGTTTAAAAACAGTGTAAAAGATATATATAAATATATATTTATATAATAACACATATAAGCAAATATAAAATAAAATAAAATAAAAAATTTTTTTTTATAAAATATAAATATATAATAATTTTTTTTTATTTTTTATTAAAATATAAAAATAAAAAAGGATAAAAATATAAGATATAAAAAATAATTAGAAATAAATAAAATAAAATAAAAATATATTAATAATTATAAAATAAATAAAAAATAATAAGAATAAAAAAAAATTATATATATATAATATAATGATGTTTTAAATATCTACATTGTTTGAATTATAAACATGTGAACAAAAATTTTACTGAATATAATAAAAATATTTTAAATTAATGAAAAACTAACTGATTTAATTATTTATTTATTAATTTTTTAATTTATTTTTTTATTTACTATTTAAAATTTCGAATATATTTAACTTTATATTTAATAATTTATAGTTTTTATTATTTTATGTATATGTATATGTTTTTGAATACATTCTAATTTAAATAATAAAAAAACAAAATTATTCACAAACTTCTTACTTACTTTATAAAAATATAGTTTATTATATTTATCTAAAATATAATTAATATTAATATTAAAAATTTAATATAAAAAATATACATTAGTTGTTTAATCTAAAAATATATATTTAATATCTTTAAAATGTATTAATTTTAATAAATATTTACAATATTTTATAATTTTTTTTTTATAAAAAATACTTCTTTATTTATAAAATAGTTTATAAGAAAAAAAATATATATGAAAATAATTACAAAAATTAAACTAAAATTTTAACTATTTTTTTTAATAAATATAAATATATAAACAATGCTAAAAGTAAAAAAGAATCAGTTTTTCTTTCTCTGAATGTTTTTAGCAATATATTCAATACTTTTGAAATATGTAATATATCAATAATAATTAAAAAACATCCGAAGAATTATAAAAAAATCAAATAATTTGAATATTATTTTTAACATTAATATAAATAAAAACTATAAATATCCATAGTATAGTAAAAAAACCGAATTAACCTGAATCAGCTAATTTAAACATAGAAATGATATTAAAATAAGAATCTCTACTTGCGATACTTCGTTTGCAATTAATTTTTTTTCGACCTATTGGCCTTTTTAACCATGTTAATTATTAACTATCATTTATTTTTAATTAAAAATATCAATATAATCTTATTTATCTATCTATTTTTATTAAATTTATATATTTTCTCTTTTATTATAAGGTTAAACTTTTAAATTTACACGTAAGTTAAAAAATATTTCCTTTTCTATCTTAAATCGTTATTAATCTTTAAATTTAAAACTAAATAAAAATTATTAACAAATCTCTAACCTGTTAAAATATTTTAATTATTATTTTTTAAGTTTTAATTTGAAATAAACATAGTTTTCACATAATATATTAGATTTTTTATTTGATTTTGATTATAATTTTATTAAATTTTAAAATGTTTAAATTTTTGAATGATAAGTTTATTATAATTTGCACTTATGCTCTTATTTTAATGTTTATTAAATTATTTTAATGCTATTTAATTATAAAGTGTTAATATAATAATTAAGTTATTAAAATAAAATAAAAAAAATTAATTTAATGTTATTTATAAAATAACATAAAATGTATTATTTAAATATCAGAAAAAAAATATAAAAGAACTAAAAATTTATAGTCCTAATTTTATTTCTTTTTTCAAAAGAACTTTATTATTTTACAAGTATTTATAAATTAAAAATATATTATAAAGAATTAAATAATTATAACAAACAAAAACATTGCAATTTGATTATTTAAATAAATTATATTACTATAAAATTGTAAATTTTGATAAAAATAATATATTTTAAAAAAATTAAAAAACTTAATTAAAATTTAAAGTAAAACATTATTTTATTAATATAATAAACTGTTTTTTTATTTTTATTATTCACATATATATATATTTTATTTAATCACTAATTTTATTTATATTTTCAAATTATAATCTATTTTTCTATTGAATATATTTTAATTTTCCATTATGTTTTTCACTATAATTAATACTTTTCATTAAAGTTTATATGGAAGAATATTTTGAATTACCATCACAGTAAACATTTCCTTATTTTAATTCTTTGAAAACATTAGAAAATAATGAATTTTTAATTATTTATTAATAAATTCTTTCTTTAAAAATATTGTATTCAGTGTTAATATCTTGAATTTAAAATTCAATTCTTTCATTTTATTTACAATTATTATATTCTTCTAAATTTTTACTAAAATATTATAACTTTTTAATAAATTTCTCATCATAAAATTAATTAAATGCTTTTTTTTTAATAATTAAAAAGAAAAAAAAAGAAAATACCAAATCTTCTTTTTTAATTATTATTTTTATCATCTTCAACTCTTTTAAATAATTCCATCATACTTAAAATAATATTTTAAATGTATTCAGGTGAAAAATCTTTTTTTATCAATTTTCCATTGCAATCAACTATCATATTCAAAATATTTTAGTTAATCCCATTAATATATTTTATTTTTTATAAAGCTTATGATTCGGTCCCTGTAAATTCTAGAAATTCTTTAAAATTATTACATAAATCAATACTAAATAAATTAAAATCTTCTTATTATTCCTATTATTATTCTATTTCAAATTTAGATATTGATTTTTAATTATTCGTCTAATTTTCTAATTTTTGTAAATTCTCTATTTTTTTAACTTTTTTTAAAAATGGATTTTTTTATACAGACTTTAAATTATTTAAAAATTTTTCCAAATTTTTAATTTCTTCTTAATGTTATTCTTATTTTAATTACTTCATATTAGATGAATATTCATTTTTAAATCCCTTTTCTAATTCTTACAAATGATCATTAAAAGAAATCTATTATGTTTAATTATTTTTTTATATTTAGATTATTTATTTTGAATTATTTATTTTAATTTATGGCAGAGTATTTAATTATTTATTTTTTATTTTTTAATTAGACTCAACTTATTTCATTAATATTAGTTTTCCTTTGTAATCATAGTTTATTTTCAACTATTAAATTTTGAACATCTTTTTTTCTGATTATTGACTTTAAGTTTAATCAAATATATACTATTCTTAATTTTATAAAATGTTTTACTTAAAATTTCTATTTATCTATATAAATATAAAATAAACAAATAAATTTTCATTTATTTTTAACAAAGTAATTAAAAAAAAATTAATATTATATTTTTAACTTTATTTTAATCTAAAGATGTTAAAAATGCGCTTTGATTATTTAAAGAATTAGTTTTGTTATTTTTGGTAAAATAATATAAATTGCTTTAACAAGCTAGTTAATTTTAAAATATAATGTTTCTACTTTTATCGAAAATAATAGGCTCATCTAACATTTTATTATTTTAAATTTTTATTTATACTAAAAAAAATTTCTATTTTAATTATAATATATTGTATTTATATTATTGAAATTTTCATAATATTTATCATTAAATTTTAATTAGAAATTATCTGTTAAATAAAATACATAAATTTTTATGGATAAAAATAATTAAATACTTAAAGAAATAATAAGTATATTGATTTTTAAAATGAAAAAAAAAAAAAAAAATAGAAAAATTTATTAAAAATTATATAAATAAAATTACACGTAAAAACAAAAAGAATAATTTAAAAGCAAAAAATAATAAACTAATATTAATTGTTTAAAAAAAAAGATAAATTAATTAATAAGGATTTTTTTTATAAGAAAATTATATAAATGATAATTAAAAAAAATTTATTATATTTAATATTTAATATTTAATATTTAATATTTAATATTTAATATTTAAATATATATATATATATATACATATATATATATATTTAATATTTTATAAAAATTATATAATATATATATATTTAAATTTTTTAAATTATTTTACTTATTAATAGAATATTTTTTTAATGTTTATTTATCTTTTAACTTATAAATAAAATATTAATTTTTTATTTTTATCTTTTATCTTATATTTTTTTTTTGTATTAATATCTTTAATATATATTGATATAATATATAAATAATAAATTTTTATTTTTTTAAAATTTATAAATGATTTTTTATTTGCAATATTTTTTTACATATGCCTATAATTTGGCAGATATTATATCTGAAGTTCTATTTTTATCTTTTAATGGATTTATAATATATATAATTTATTATTAATTGTTAATTTTCTATTAATATAATAGATATTAGATATTATTTTATTATAAATAAATAATAATTAATTAATCTTAATACTACATATTTATGTAATTTTAATCTTAAATCTTATAATTCTTTTTTAGTTTTTCTTAAAATTATTTATATTAAGTTTCTAATTTAATATAAAGTTTTTAATAAAAAATAATTATGTATTTATTCATTAATATTTTAATATTCACATTAATTATAAACATAAAAATAAATATTAATTAAAATAATGTTAATTATAATTTTTTACCAAAAAGTATATAAAAAATTTATAAAATTTAATAAAAACTATATAAATGGGCTTTTAATAAAAAAATAATAGATATTTGTATATATTTTTTGTTTTATATTTCAATTATTATTTCTCCTATTAATTAACAATTTTTATCTTTTATAATTTTTGAATTTTTAACCATTATTATACCTATTATTTCTCTTAAAGTCATTTTCTTTTTAAAATCTATTATTTTTATAATGAAGATTTTTATAAAAATAAAATGTTACTTTTTATTATTTTTGAAAAAGCCTCTTTTCTTAACTCCTTAAATTCTATCATATCTAAACTTATTTCTATCTTTAAAACCTCCTCCTTCTTTCATGAATTCGACAGTGATTATTCGCTATTCTAATTCAACTCCTTTTACAATAACAAAATAAGAAAAAATTAAAGAATATATATTTACCATTTAAATCATCAATAGCCCGTTAAGCTGCATGATGTTCTTTATAAATAACAATACCTATTTCTTAAGACTTTCCCTTTTAATCTACATCAATACTAGCTTTTTAAACCATTCCATATTTAACAAATAAAGTCTTTAAAAGATTTAGTATATGCGTTAATTATTATAAATATTTTAAATACGTAAAAATCTTCATTTGTTATATTTGGAGCTAAATTATAAGCTTTTACTATTCTTTTTTTAAACTCAGGAATTTTATTGATTTTCTTATAATTTTATTAAGAGAAATTTTTATTATTTTTGTTTGATCTTCTATTATTATTTTGATACTAAAAATATTAAGATATTATTTAATAAATCATAAAATATATTTTTAATTATAATAAGATTAAAAACTGTTAATAATTTTAATTTAAACTTCAATATATTTTTTTAATTATATTTATTATTTTGCAATTTTTTTTATTCAAAAATAAGCTATTATAATTTAAATTCAGAGTTTTTTTAAAAAAATATTTATTAGTTTCTAATATCTAATAAAAGTACTAAATAAAAAAAATGGAAGGAAAAAATATTTATTTATTTAATAAATATTTTATATGAATAAAGTCTAGACGAACTTAATATTATTTTTAAATAATATATTTTCATTTTATTTAGAAAATTTTAGAAAAGCAATTTTCTTAAAATATTTATTAACAGTTTATTATTATTTTTTATTATTATACTTTTATTGTTATTATAGATACCCTTTATCTATAGTTTCCAGTTCTACGAATGACGCCTTTCTTTTATTTATCTTATTTCTAGATGTTTCCCTTTATTCTTTAAATTTTTGAAACTATTGTATATTTCTTAGCAAGATCATCTAATGAAATTTCATCGTTAGCTTGTACTTTCATTTTTTTGTTTTGTTTATAAATAATTGTTTTTTATTTTTAAAATTAAATTATTTTTAGTTAAATTTAATTATAATAAAATTATTTTTATTTTTATTTTTTAAATATTTAATCATCCTAAAAATATATTAAATATATTATAAGCTTTTTTTAAGCGAAATATTATAATTTATTTAGACAAAATATTATAATTTTTTTATAATTAATTAATATTGAAATAGAAAAAAATTAATAATATATAAAAAATTAAAACTCCATAAAAGTTATATGTATTTTTTCAATAATAAATAAATAGTCACATCAATTTATTTATTCTATTATTTAGTAATTGACTTTATCTAAGACGTTTTATTTGGTCTATAGAGCTTTTTAAATATCAAACACATTATATTAATATTCATTTATATATAAATAACTAAATCCAAATAACATTAAGAAGATAAGAAGATAGAATCTCAAGCAATCTCTTTTGTAAAATAATTAAAAATCTGACTATTTTGAATTCTTTTATAATGTTATTTATATTATATAATCAATAAGTTTTTATTTTGTTAAGAATGCTTTTATTATTTCTCAAAAAATGAATATTAAATTAATTTTTAAAATAAATACTTATTAATTTTAGATTGCCGCGAAAATATTTAAATGAAAGCTAATTTTAAGAGATAAATTTTTTAATTTATATAAAAATAATTATTTATAAAAATTAAAACTACATAACTAAATAAACTTTATTTTATTTCTAAATATTTAACTTATTAAATTAAATATTTTTCATAAATATTAATTATATTATTTTTCAGAGCAAACATTTTTAGTAAACTAATATTTTTTTTGAATTAAATTTAAAATATTTTTAATTGTACTACATTTACTTATATAAGAAATTGTAATTTAAAAAATTAAAAATTTAATATTTATTATATTAATTTATTAGTTTATTAGTTTATTTTTATAATATTTCTTCGATAATATATTATTAAACAAATGAAATATTAATATTTTAAATTTTATTCTTACAAAAGGCTATAAGGTCAATATATTTTTATATATTAATATAAAAAAAATTAAATTTTAATAAAATTAATATTTTATGATTAAAGTATCCTTTAAAATCATAAAATATCTAAAAAAATGCTATTTTAAGAATTATTTAAATTAAAATATAATTAATATTTATTTTTTTCTTATTTTTGAATTCTAAAAAAAGGATTTTCAAACAAAAAATTCTATAATTAACTAATAAATTTAAATAAATTTATTAAATTACAACAGTTTAATTATTTTCTTTAAGTTTTTAGTTTTAGTTAAGCTTCAGTTAGTTTAATATTCTCAATTATAAAGGGAAGAATATTTATAATTTTTTTTAAAAAAGAAATTAATTATATACATTTAAATTTGCTTTCTAATAAAAGATTATAATATTATATTTGAAAAAAGGATTAATAAAATTAAAATTTTTAAGACTTATAAGTTTTAATAAACATATTTAACCGTATTAAAAAAATTAAAAAGCCAATAAAGATTATAATCAAATTTATCATTTAAAAACAAATAAATATTAGAACTATCATATAATTATTTTATTTTAGAAATTTATTTAAACAAGCTGATAAATTTAAAATTTAAAGTTTCTTCAAAAAAATATTTATTTTAATTAATTATTTACTTAAAAATTAAGTAAATAACTTCTTTACAATCATTATTTTAATTATTAAATACGAAAGTTATTATTATAAAGATTAGTAGTTATGAATTCCATAAAATAATTAAATTTAATTAAAAGAAACTTTTATTTTAAAATAAAACGCAAATTTTTATCGTTAATTAAATTAAAAAATATATTTTAATTATAAAGAAATTTATTTTGTGCCTAAAAATTATATTTTCAATTACACAAGTGATTATATTAATTTTGATTTATATTTATCAAATAAGTTTTAAATAAAATAAAAAAAATTCGATGTTAAATTAACAATTTTATATATTTAAGTTATATATAAAATGTATAATGTTTTTATGATTTTCTAATATATTATATTTGTACTTAGCTTATATTTAAGAAGAAAAAATTTTAATAAAATAAAAACTTTGTAAGTAAACAATATATGTTATTTAAAATAAATTATGTTTTATGCTATGTTTGTGATTAATGGTTTTGAAATTTAACCTTTTTTCTATAAATATTTAATTTTACGATTCATGTATATAAATATTTAAAATAAAATAAATTAAAATATTAAAATAGCAATTATATTTATAGATTATTAATAAAAAAAAAATTAGAATAATAAAATATTTATTAATAGTTAAAAATATTTTTAAAAATAAAATAAATATAAACAATAAAAAGAAAATCTTTAGGAATAAAAATTTATAATTGTAAATAAATATAAGAGATTTAATAAATAAAAAAAAAATGCAAAAAAATTATGAAAATATTATTTTATATTATAATTATAATAATTAATATTATGATATTATTATTATTATTATTATTATTATTATTATTATTATATTATATTACTTAACTAAATTATGTTTTATGTATTTATTACTAAACAAATTTAAATATTTATTTAGTTTATAAAATATTTTATTTATAAAAATTATATCAATTCATTTTATTTAATAGCTTTTATATTAAATTTTAAAATTTTTGATTGATATTATAATATAATTTATTTTATTGTATAACTATTTTATAATTTTTACAACTACATATATAATAATTATTTAATATCTTTTTTTTAAAGTTTTTAAGCATTAATATATATTTATATTTTATTTGTTTTTGATTTAACTTTTTGTATTTTTTTCTTACAAATCGTACTTTTCAATATCTAATGCTTTTACTTTAAATTTTTTAAGCATTTTAATAGTTTTGATTAATACAATTGAGTCTATTCATAATATTAAATAAAATAAATAATTTTTTTTATTTTTATGATATATCTAATTTTTTTTTATAAATTACGTATTTAAAAAATATATAAATAGAGTAAGATACTATTTACTTATTATTTTATAAAAAATATAAATATAAACAGATTTACATTTTTTTATTTTAATTAAAAAAAATATAATTAATTGTAACATTAGATTTTTATAATATCATTTATTTTATAAGATCATTCTTTTTTAATTTATATAATAATCATATACTCTTTTTATATTTTTTTATTTAACTTATTAAATTTATTCTCCATTAATACAAATAAGTCCATCAACTTGTTAAATGTCAATTTAATCAAAATTTAAAAATTTAACATTAACACAAAGATTACTTAACATATTATTAATATTAGAAGTAGTTTCTTTTTATAATTTTAATATATAATCAGTTTTTTAAGCATTAAATTCGTCCTATAAAATTTAATACTTTACTTACTAATTATAAGAACTATTGAATTATGTGCTTTATTCACAATAAATATTATTATTATTATTAGAAAGTTGATTAGAAACAGATATACTATAATTATTTTAATCATTATTGCAATTAATATGAGAAAACATGTTAAACATATTACTATTAATATTATTACTATTATTAATATTATTATTATTATTATTATTATTATTTATAATTTTATTATTAGTTTTATCATATTAATTATTATTTTTATTGTTATTATCATTATTTTTTTTATTTATTTAGTTCATATTAATATTTTTTTCAAAATTTAATTTTGTTATTTTTTATAAATTATAAATTTATAAGAATTTCTCAATTTCTTATATATTCGATTATTATTTTAAAATTAATATACCTTATTCTACTTTTATAAAGTTAGAAATTTATTTTAATTAATTATTAATATTTTAAACATTTTTTTTTTTTATGCTTTTTTTTAAATTTACAAATGTATCCATTAATTATTCACTATTCTAAAACATTAATTCTATTTCATATATATTTTTTTTTTAGTTTTATAATTAGTTATCTATCTCATATATTTATTCTTTATATTCTTTTATTTTTTGTAACATATTTTATGTTTATTCTTAAATTTGTATATTTTATATTTTTTCTTATAAATTAAATACAAAAAGATCTAATGGATATATTTAAAGTAAATTTGCTGAGTTAAAATGAGCTAATTTATGGCAATCTTTACATACTAATTTTAAAAATTAATCTTAACACTAAGTATCTATACATATATATTCACATTTTGATTTTGTTATACAATTAGTACAATCTAAATATATATTACTCATTTTTTTTTTTCTTTATTAAGTTTTTTTTAATATTATTTTTATTAATTTTTTTATTATATTTTTAATTTTATTTTAAATTATTTTTTTAAAATTTTAATAATTTTATAATAGGAAACCCACCACTGGAGTCCAATCATGCGTGAAAGTGAAAAATTAATTCGGATTTAAACTGGCTAGAATTAAAGATAGGGACCAGGATATAGCCTGTAGGGTGTAGTTTATGCAGTTTCCAAACCCTTGTGAAAGTGATCTAAGTGGCTTAAGATGCCGATTCTTGCTGTTTACATACGTTTATCCCCACACAGGTATTAATCTATAGATGATAAATTCCTATAGGTAGGTGGTGATGGTTTTGGCTGAAAAAAAAATATAATATTAAATTATTTTTATTTTTATCTTAAAGTCATATTTATTTAAATTTGATTCATATTTTAAATATAAAAATTCTTTTGATTAGATAAATTTATATTCTTAAAGTTAAATAGTAAAGATTTTATCATAATTTTAACAAAACTATCAAATAATTAATAAATATATGTTTGTGTTTTAAATAAAATAACTAATATATAAAAAATATTTAAACAATTTTTTTATATTTTTTGTATATTTATATAAAAATATAATATTTTTTCTTTATTTCCTTAAAAAAATAGAAAAAATAAATTGTAGCAAATATAAGCCATTATAACAAAAAATAAAAAACAAAAAACAACTAACAAAAAAAAATAAAAAAAGTTAAATGCATAATAAATATTAACGCATTTAAAATAAAAATATTAAAAAACTAAAAGATCATTATTTTTATTTTTCGCCAATAAATTAAACCTATTCTCTTTCAGGTTTATCTAATCTTTAATGTTTAAGACCAACTCTTTTTTATGAGGCAAGCCTAACATTTTCATTTTCTTCTAAATCATCAGGCCTAGATTCCCAAGGTTTAGAGGATTTCATATAATCAACTAATTAAAGTTCTTTTTTATAACATTAAATAAATATTTCAATAGACTCATGTCCAAACTCTTCTTCTAAAGTTTTAATATCTTCAACTTCATCAGTTAGTTTCATGATATATTTAACCTTTTCTTCAGTATAAATTCTATACATCGCATGTTCAGGAACTTCTTTTAATCTTTCTAGTAGATTGTAGCTAATTTTCATTATTGTAGATCTTGGCATTGGATCAACATCCAAAAGTGCATAACCTGATGAATATTTTAATTTGGTAGATGGAACTTCATATTTTTATCTATCATATGGCCTTAAATGGACTGGAACTTCATCTTTTTTTATTTCTGCTTTTTAAATTTGAGAACAAAAATTAAAAGCTATTTTATTATTTTAAACTAATTTTCTGTATAATCTTAGCATTTTTTTATTTAAATATATAATTAAATTTATTTTTTTATTATTTTAATATATATATTTTTTTTATTTTATATATAAATATATTATTTTTTTTTTATAAAAAAATATTTATTTTTTTATTTGAAATATAAAAAAAAAAAAAATAATTTTTTTAAAAAAAATTAATATAAATTAACATATAATTTATTTTTACTCATTCAACATCATTTAATATTTTTCCCTATACAAAAACATCTTTTAAATATTCGTTTTATAAAATAATATTAATAGGAATCATATTAAGCATATATTTAGTTCTTTATATTTTTAAACGAAGGGAATTTAAATAAGGATTCCAAATAAAAATAAAACTGAACAAAATAAATGCAATAAATATACTAAACTAAATTTATTCTTTTTTATTTTGGTTACTAATAAATATATTAATATTAACCATGAAAATATCATTTAGAATTTAAACACTTATAGTTATAAAATAAAGTACTTTTTCATTATTTAAATAATTTTAACTAGAAAATATATATGTTTTTATTTATTCATTTTTATTTTTAGTAATCAAATAACTAATTAGTATCTGTCTTTAATCTTTAATTTTTTTATATATAAAAAATATTAAAAAAATAAAAATTATATAAAACTTTCTATAAAAGAAACCATCGAAATTCTTAAACCAAATTTCATTATATTATTATCAACTGTTTCACACTACGATTAATCTTAAGTATCGATTAATTTTTAACATAGATTTTCATAATTAAAAATCTGAAACGATTTTTTATAATTATCAAAACTACTAGGGAACTCTTCTTTAATACTTAGGAATATTTATTATTCGTTTACATAATAATATTCTGTAAAAAGAGTATTTAAATTTTTAGTATTTTCTATTTACTTTTAATCAGTAATTATTTCTTCAATAGTATAAAGCTAATTATATTTAATAATTAAATTTCTTTAAGAAATAAGTTTTAAATGTTATAAAAGAGAAGAAGAATTATTTAAATATTATAATTATATAATAAAATCAGTAATAAAATAAATAAAATATAAACTAGCAATAAAAAAGAACTGCAAAATAATTATTTTTTTATTATTATCTTTTGAATTTAACAATAATTAACTTCTTAATAAGCTTTATTCTAATAATGAAAGCTTCTTTTGTTTCTTCTTTCTTATTTATTACTATTCATTTTAACCTTTTTAAATATTTTCTTAATTTCTTTTTGTTTTTTATTATTATAATTCATCTTCTTCATTATCATTTTCATTATCATTATCATCTTGTTTTTCAATTTAACATACATTCACTTCTTCTTATGGTTGATCATCCACTTACAAGCTTATTTACTATTTTAAAATCTCTTCTAAATATTTTTCTTAAAAGCTTTAACAAATTTGGACTAAATTTTAAATTTCAAATATTTATATAATTCCAAATAATGAAAGTACTTTATTATTAGCTTTTAAAACTCTAAAAACAATTATAGTCAATACCAAAAAACAAAATGTTAAAAATCCAATAACTACAAACATTATAATATAATATATTTTTTCAAAATCACTTATATTTTTTTAGTAATATTAATAAAAAGTCTCTGCTATTTCTTCTGATCCTTATCTTAAAATAAAATTACCATTTTAAATAACGTAATAAAAATTTGTTTAAGTAACATCTAAAAATACTTAACTATAATTTTAATTTAAAAAAAAATATTTATTATAAAAAAACCCTGGAGTTACTGATTTGAAATTAAATGAGGAGATTGTAGAATTTGCAAGAGAAGAACTTGAAGTTATATATTAAATTATTGAATCAGTATAAGTATTTTCTTAAAATTAAATGTTACCGTTTTATAGTAAAAACTGTATTTTGTATAATTAATTATCTAATAAAAATTAGGTATTTTAATCTAAATACATCTTAAGACTAATTAAATCAAATTATATTTATTAAAGTGAATTAACATGTTATGTTAACTATAAAAAATAAAATAATTATTTATTTTTTATTTATTAATTTATTTATTTATTTATTTATTTATTTATTTATTTATTTATTTATTTATTTATTTTTACCTCGTCTTGTCTTTCTTTGAAATTATTTTATATACTTATATTATCTAATAGTATTATATTACTTTTAGTTTTTATTATTTTTTATTATTTAATAATAATATATTTTTTACTTCGCTATACAATATAATTTTCTTAAAGTATAGTTTATATGTGCTATTTCTTTATGCCTTTAATAAACTTTAAAAATAGATTTTTTCGCATTTTCTAATTAAATATTTTATTATAATTTGAAATATAAATTTATCACAGAGCAAACTACTAATAATAAAAAAAGAATTATAACTGTTATTTTTAATATTTTTATATTTTAAGGTTCCTTTTTATTATTTTTATAATAATTATTAATTTAAAAATTACTTTGTTTTCATTAATTTTTTATTTTAATTCTTTTATTTTTCTTAAATCTTCATTTTAATACACACTATCTTCATTATTATAAGATTCGTTTTCAGAAATCTAATCTTCATCATTTTTAAGTTAGCTTGCGTTATCATTTTCTTATATTTCATCTGCAATTTCATTTTTTTCTTATTTTTCTTTATTATTTTTTACCTCAACAAATGCAATTATATTTAATTTTAAATTTTAAAAATTTTATTATTCAAGTAAATTTATTCTTACTTATGCTGTTTGAAGATTATACTTTTGTTTTTTATAAGAATTTTCTTCTTATTAATTATTTATTTATAAATTCTCTTAAAATTCTTCTTCGTTTTCATCTTCTTTATCTGAAATTTCAAAATTGTTATAATATAATTCTTCTATTATACTTGTATCAAGCACAGTCAATAATCCTCCTGGGCTTTATAACTCTTCAAAATTTTTAGGATTTAGCAAATCTGGGCATATTTATTCTTTAATATATTTATGTATTAATTAAGTTAATTTTAAAATATTTATTTTACATATATTCAATTCATTACCAATACTAGTATAACCTTATAAAAACTTATAAGAAATTCCAAAATTTTAATAGCAAGACTCAGAAACTCCGTAAATTAAATGATTTCCATCATTACCATAAATTAAATAATGAATTTTATCTTCTTAATTATCAATTTAATTATTTATTACATTATTACTAATTTTACTTCCATTAGTATTATCATTAGTTTCATTATTATCATTATAATCTATTTCTTTTAAAAAACCTACTAAAGTTATTCCGTCTTATAAATTATGTTGTAGTTTTATCATTAAGCTACAAGGTACTAAATATTAATCCTATAAACATATATATATATAAATATATGTTTTTTAACACTATATATATATTTATATTTTGTGTAATTTTTGAAAAAAAAAAGTGGAGAAAAAATGGATTATGGTTTTTTTGATTGAATTTAAAAAAAAAATACAGAATAGATAAATAACATTAGTTTATTTTATTTTTTAAACTCAATAAACCATTTTTTTCGTCTTTTTTTTTCAATTGTGTTTTTTGAAAAGAAATTAAATAAAAAAATGATAAAAAGTTATATATAATTATTTACTTTATTTTATGGCAATACAGTTCTTTCTAAATTCATAATTTTGTGTTCCGAGGTTTCCAAATAATTTCTAAAAAAACTATCATGAATATCTGCATAAACTTAAGGCATTAATATGTTAACATTTTATTATAAAATTTCATTTTTTTAGTATCCTAAAATTCTATATATTAATAAATTATTAAATTATATATGTAAAATAAACCTATAAATTTCATTATTAGAATTTGTTATAATTCCCATATTATTAATATTGCCTGAACAAGTTAAAATAGCAGTTTTAGAATTTTCTCCATATTTTAGTTTTTCCTAATCAATAAATTTTTTATTTGCATTTTAAGAATATTTTATATATTTAACTAAATTTAATATTTGATCAGCTTCATCTTAATCATTAACAATTTATTTTAAAAACTATCCGAAAATTTCTAAACATTTAATATTATTAGCATAAATATTTTTAAGCTTAGAAAATAAAAGTCTAACATTAGCCACATTTTTAGTAATAAAATATCCTATTTATTATAATCTTAAAATCTCGGGTTTATCTTCTAAAAGTTCATTCCAAAATTCACTATAAAAATTTATAGTTTTAAAAATCTCTTCTTGAAATTCCTCAAACTTATTTTAAAAAACTACAATTTTATTATAATCAAGAGATTTATAATCTTTTCCTTTTTAATCATTTTCTTCTAAATCATTTTCAATTTAATAAGTAAATCTAATTAATCAATTTTATTTTTTAAATTATAAAATTATTTAACAAAAAATAAAAAAATACCTATAAATTCCAAAATCAGTATTAATTTCAGGTTTTAATTACATACCAATCATAAGTTCTAAAACAGCTTTTAACATATTATTAAGTTTTAAATGTAAAATATAAGAATAGAGCAGATGTAAAAAAGCTGATTTTTGATTATTTTCAATAATTCCTTCTAATATTTCTGCTAAAAACAAATACCAATTTTTCGAAAACTCCACTTGTTCTCCTGTGTCTTAAATATCATCTAAACATATCAATTTTTTACAATAACAATCATTTTTTATACATTATCTTGAATGAAATTTTAATGTTCCATCCAAAATTATTTTTTTTTCAATATTTTATCTTTTTTCAATTAAATCAATCATAGTATTTATATAAAATAATGCTTATTTTTCCTCTTAGAAATCTTTTATTGAAAATTTTAAATAATTAAAATCTCTATAATTTAAAAAAAAAACATATAATCTCCAAATAAAAGGAGTCACTAAAATTAAATAAGTAATTCCTACAAATCCTGTATCAATAAAAAGTGAAAAAAGAGAACAAAAAGAAGTCCAAAAAAGTAAACAATCACAAAATATATAAAAATTATACACTATTTAATTATAAAATCCTGGTTCTAAATAACGTTAAATTAAGACTATAAAATGAATTCCAGAAAGCACTACAATATACTATCTTACAAATTTTCCGGAATAATCAATACAAATGTAAAAGTTTAATATAAATTTTAACGCTTTTTTTTATTTTAATTTTTTTTTTTTTAAAAAAAAAAAAAAAACCGTGTTTTATTAATAAAACTAAAGAATTTTTTTATGCAAATGGAATTCGAGAAAAAGGATTAGAATCTTTTATTAATAAAATAAATAATGCATCCATTATTATTGTGCACAAAGTTCCTATAGCACCCATTACTATATGAAAGATTTAAATGCCTTAATAACATTAATATTCTTGGTGGATTGTGAAATTTTCTGAGCATATAAAAGTTACTAAATAAGAATTTAGAATTGGTAAAGGAGCTATTGTACGAGAAAGTAAATTGCATATCGATAGATATTTAATTGAATAAATGTAAAATTATGAATTTTTATTATATTTTATTGCTATCAATCTTAAAATTATTATAGTTAATATTAAATTAAATACATCGTATGTAAAAAAAGTATATAATATTATTAAATATTATGTTTAATTGCCATTCAATAATATATAATTTGGTTAAAAATATGATATTGCTGTTCGAAAATGATCTAAAATATCTGTATCCCATAAATATTAATCTATTAAAGGGTGTATTGTATAATATAAAAATTATATGGTTTCAATAAATATTAATAAACAATAAATTGGAGCTGAACATAACTATTTTTTATTTTTATAATCTTATATAATTTACTTTTTTTTTTACTTAATTTTCTAAAATTTCATGTATTAATTAAAATAAATATCTTTTAATATTAAATTCATTTTATTCGTGGGAATCATATTCTTTATTTTTTTATTTTTTAAAAATATTCATTTTAATAATCTATAAAATATATTTTTCTTATAAAAATTATATTTTTTAATATATATTATTTAAAAAAATAAATTATAATATAAAAATGATAAATAGATCGAATAAACATGAACAAGAAAAATCTTTATATATAAGAATATAAGATTAAGTTAAAAAATAAGTATTTGAAATAATATACTAAGTACTTCGTGAGGAAGAAATCTCAATTTATCATCGTTTTATATTGATATTCATAGAATTTTTTTAGATTCTTTATTTTGACTTTACGTCAATAAATAAGCTAATTTGGTAAATGCCAAAAGTATGTGATAGCATAGAAAAGTTTTTTGGAATTTTTTTAATATATCCGTATCTTTCATCTGAATAATCATGGAATACATATATAATTATATTTTATATTTTAATACTTATAATAATCTTTACAATATGTTTGATGTTCTATACAAGTTTGGCTTAGAAAAAAACATTGCATTTTTAATGGCCTATAATAATATTAAAATATTTATGTATATATATAAATTCAATACTATATGTGCCTATAGTGCATTATTTAGCGAATATTTTAAACTGCTCAGAATTAATAATAAATAATAATAAAGAAGAAGCACATTCTAAATTCAATGAAACATTATGTTGGACTGGTTTACATATATTACATAGTTTTATTGGTGTTTTTTTTATTTCCATATTAAGTATTTTAAACTTTTCCCTACTGATAACTTTTTTTGACCGTAGAATGAATTCAAATGATCCAAACGCAAAGTTAAGTGGATAAACAAATTATAGTTTTGGAATATATAAATTACTTATAATTATAATATTTGTATTTATGAACAATGACTAGTTTTCTTATTTACTTTTAGCACTTATCCTTGGAGGCTCCATTTTAATTTTTTAACGAGTTCATTTTCATAACTCTTATATAAACGAAAAAATAAATAAATTATGGGATTGCTTGGCTTCGATACAATTATGGACTGCTATATGCCTTATCGCCTCAAAATTAATGGAATAAAAAATTTTTTAAGGCACTTTATTAATGTGGATCATTGGTATTCCTTTTTTAGTGATATATATATGCACATCCAGAGATTAGAATTTGAATTTTCTTCTTTCGAATATTAATAAATTTGCAAATGGAGAAGAATTAATAATTCAAATATGTGAACTATAAAAATTAATAAGAAATTACAAAATTGACGCTTATTATACTGCAATACTTGACGGATATGTAGAAATCCATAAATAAAATTGCTAAAGGGAAGATTGTCCTATAGTAGTAAAAAATAATTTAAAAATAAACAGAATAATAAAATAAATACAAGCAAATAATTAAAATGATATCCAAAATGAAAAGCATTGTAAATTGATACATTTGGTATATACTATGTTTTTAGAAGGAGTTAAAAAATTCCCTAATAATACCAATTTAAGAATTCTATTTACATTTTTTCTAATCGAAAAAATGAAATTTAAGCAAACAGCACTCCACGAACTTAACGTGGTAGAAGAAAATAGCCCTCCTTTTGACATTTAGTTTACTATATTTCACTTAAAAAAATTAATCGAAGAAGAAATTAAACTCGAAAATAAATTAAACAAATAAAAACACGGAAATAATGATGAAGAAGCAGGGGTACTTGATATTATAAGTGAAATTAGATATAAAGAAATTCTCAAATAATTTAAATATAATATTGAAATATGTTCAGAAGCTCATATGGATTTCTGGTCCTAATTATCTGAAGAAACTCCTGACATGTAAAAATTACATTAGTTCGGAAAACATATTATTCGTTCAAAGGCTAAAGTTGAGAATTGTTGGAATAAACTCATTAAAATATGTAATAAAAGACCTTAACCATATTTATTGTACTCAAATTTTTTATTCGAAATATTACACGATAACCAATATTCTCGATTAATATTAAACCAGGCGAATTTACTTTAAAAAAATACTCGAAAAAATTTAAAAAATATACAAACAGCTCCAAACGCTTCTTTATAACAAGATGATTAAGAATCGGATATTTAAGCAACTTTATCTATATCTACTGAAAGTGATAAATTAGGTTTAATAACATAAATTAATGTTTCTGCTGCAAGTTTATTTGGATATAATAAGACAGAGTTAATAAATAGAAAAATAAATAGTTTAATGCCATCTTTATATGGAACAAATCATGATAATTTTATCGAAAATTATTTAAATAATAATGAATTTACTTTTTTTAAAGAAGAAAAACATCTTTTTTTATTACACAAAAGTAATTATATAATCCCTATTTTTATTTCTGTTAAATCTGTTGAAAGTCTTCAACATGGATTATAGTTAATTGGACACTTTCGACCTGATAAATAATATAGAAATTAATGCTATTTAATTATAGATGATGGTGATAATATAAATTCTATTTCTGCATCATGCGTTAATATACTTTAAATAGATCATAAAATTCTTCATGTTAAAGATAAAAAAGTCGATAGTTATTTGTAAGGATTAATGACTGATAAAGATAAATATTTTGCAAAATAAGGATCTTTATTTAATTATGCACTTCCTAAGGAGAAAACTAATTATCATAATTCTATTATTAATGGTCATTTAAAAAAATACAAAGTCTTTTTATAAAATATTTCTTTTAAAAATAAACATAATGCTGGCCATATTATACGTATAGAATGCTCATAAGAATAAGTTCTTAATCTGAATTAGAGAACACCTATTCCGTGTACTTTTTAGTTTATTTATGATAATAATCAAAAAATTTACAATGGTTAATATACTTTGATCACTAATGATTTTGACTAAAGCGAATAGTTAACTTAAAATTAATCTCCAAATAAAAAATGCACTCTATTCTAAAATATTATTAGAAGTGACAAAATAAATAAGTCTTAAGTTTTATTATCTCCAATATTATAATAATTAGAATAAACAGTAGAAGAAATAAAAGAAGAAGAAAAATTAGAAAAGTTAGAAGAAGAAGAAGAAGAAGAAAAAGAAAGAAAAAAATAAGAATGTCTCTAAAATAATCAAGTATAAGGTTAAGATATTTTTATATATAACCCAAATATTCGATAAACATTGTATCATCAAATTTGTTAAAAATACAATGTAGCAATAAGAGGAAATTATGACAAAGGAATATCAACAAGACGTTTATTCAAAAACAAAATAACGGATATTAACTAATTCAAAGACTCAGAATCTGAGCATTCATCAAATGAAGAAGATGATTTTAATGATTCATTATTTAAAAATAATGGAGAAGATGGAGAGGAAGGTATACAACTAACAAATAATTTTGGCAATAGTTTCAACTCAAAAAAAAGTTTGAATCAAATAATTAACTCTTAAATAGTTCCTACTGCAATTTAAAACTTGAATATTTTAGTAAAAATTATGTTATTGATTCTTACTATTATTTCTTTTGTGGAATATTTTATTACTAATTAAGAACTTAACTAAACGAAAGATTTATTATAACTTATTAATTATTCAAATAAAAGAGTAGCTAATTTACATTATATACAAGCAAATCTTAGAGATTTATGCTTAATTAACTTAGGTTTAATTAATAGCTCGAAAGCTGCCTTATTGAAAGCTGATACTTTAAAAATTATAGACGAAATCGATTAATTATCAAATTATTTATAATTAAATACAAGCAATGCTACTTCAAAAGAATTAAAAAACATTCTTTACGAAAATATAATAAAAATTTACTTAAAAACTGGAAATACTGAAAATCATAATCTAAATGATTCTACATAATAAATGATTTCAAATGCTTTAGTTATTTTAAATACACAATTAAATTAAATACAATAGACAAATTAAGATTTTATTTTTTATTAAAAGAATGTTTTTAATGACTATCTTTACTATATTAGAGAAAGTAATTATTATTATGTAAAAGAGCTTGAAGCATAAACAACAAATAAGACAACAACCCTTTTTGTGCTTTTATTACTATCGCCAATTTTTATATGCATAATGATGGTAGTATTATCTCCAGTGCTTATAAACTTAAATCAATCAAATTTGGAAGTTATAAACCTTTTTTTGGCAATTCCAAATAAGCATATTCTTTCTTTACATATATAATCATAAAGCTTTATTTCTTAATTAAGAGCTGATGATGAAGATTTATAATCAGTAAACGATTTTGACAGAGAATATGATGAAGAAAATCAATAATAAGATCATGAAAAAATAGAAATTGCAGGAGAATCTGGAGACGAAAACTTTACTCGCCGAAAGAAAAAAAAATTCGTTAATCGAATTAAAAATAGTAGTTTTTACATTGTTTCAAAAATGTTTTTTGGGGTTTTAGTATTAGAAGTTTATTTTATAATTTGTTATTTTATGGCTGACAATCTTCTTGATAATATAAAAAATAAAATACCAGAATTAAATTATACTAATTATGCGGAAGGTTATTATATTTATGCAGATAATTGTCAAAGAAATTTATTTTTAAATCCATAAATGCCAATTTTAAATTAATCTCCTCTTTAAGTTTCAATATATAATATAAATTAAATATTTAAGTTAGATTCAGACATTCTTTATGATCATTCTAGAAACATATAAATTCATAAAAATATTTATAATGATGAGTTCAAATTTATTATGACTTAAAATCCATGTTCATTTTTCTTAGAAGCTAGTGCCATAACATAAATTTCTGATTGTAATATATTTGCCAATGGTGCTGTATAATCTGGAATGACAGTAGCATTTACACGTTATTTTGAAAATATTAGATAAATGCTAACTTTTTATTAATAAATTATGGATGATGATAATGATTTTGATTTCTAAAATATTGCACCTTCGAATTTTTAAAAAAAAAATATTTTTCCTAATAATCCTAAATTAAATGATGTTTATAATTTGCTTGCAATACCTCTAGCTAATGAAATTAGAGATATGTAAAATATTTATATTAAATCAGCATTAAGAAGACTCGTTTATAAATTCTAATTGTCTATAGATGAGTCTATTAACACTTTATCTACTGTTAAGTTTGTTCTTTTTATTACATTCCTATTTATGGTATTTATTATTTATTTTCTTTTTTGGTGGCCTATAGCTGATAAACTTACAGAAGATATATGGAAAACAAGATCTTTACTTACGACTGTGCCTTTAAATGTTATTAAAGTTGTTAAACCTATTTAAATATATATAAAATTTTTGTATGATATCGAATAAAAAGAATAAATGAAAAAACAAAATAAAGAAAATGCTAAAAATGAAAGAGTAAGTAAAAATAAAATTTGAAGTTAATATAGTATATATCAATTAATTATTTTTTAAACTTTAATTTATACAAAATAAAAAATCAATTAATTTAAATAATTATAAAATTGCAGATATATTTTTAAACAAAAAAAAATATTAAATTTTATAAAAAAATTTATTAAATAATATATCTACGAGATTTCATATTTCACCCTTATATTTTACATCAAAATACTGATTTTTATATTCAATTTTTTTTATATAGTCATCTTTTAGATTTTAAGGCACTATCGAATCTACTCCTAATCTTGATTCGCCTTAAAGTAATTTAATGAAAATAAACAATTTTTTTTTGTTTTAAATATATAAAAATAATTATTTTTTAAAAAATACCTGTTAAAATATTATATCCGCAATTACTTCTAGTATCTAAATTCTAAGCTCTTACATATCCTCTTACCTTAGTTTGTTCATCCATATATCTTAAATTTTCTCCTTCTTTTGATTTTTCATATTCTAAAGTAATCGGGTTAAATGGTAACCTATATTTTAATACATATAAATCAATAAAATCATGTGTTTATATATATACCCATTTGTATTTTTTTTGCATTATATAAGAATATCTTTTCTTTTTTCTCTAATAATTTCTTCTCTTTATGATTATTTTTCCATTTACTGCCATCTATAAGAATCTCTTTCTATCCCTTCAATTCTATGTTTTTCTTAATTTATTTCTTTTTATTGTAATTTTAATTCTCTTTATTATTTATCATAAATTGCAAAGTCTTTGTCAAACCTTTAATTTTCTAAATAAATGTTTGAAAAAAGGAATAAATTATTATAATATTATGTTAATAATGTTTATTTTTTTATTATAAATTTATTTTACCTGATATAAATAAACTAGATTAAGGATCTGCATTGTGTAATAATTATTTCACATCTTAATTTCTTGTTTCATATCCCACTCTTTAATTAATTCTTATTTTTTCCATTTGCTCTTTATCCTTCATTGCCCCCTGTTTTTAAAATTTTTATTTTTTTATTTAGTTATATATTTACTCTTTCTATACGTGTTCTAGGTATTATGTTGTTAAGATTATCTCTATATTAGCTATTTTCTCTTTGCGGATATTACTATTATATATTTACATTAGGCTATTCGTATTATTATTATTATTAATATTAATAGTTTTTATTATAAGCATTTTGATTAATCAGAGGTGTTTATTATTAATAATTATTTAAATAATTTTAATAACCTTAGTTACCAATATTCTACTCTTAAAAATTTTTATTTTATATATTCGGAGTTTGCAAATAACTAGGTCTTTATTAATTTTGCGGAGGTTATTAATAATACTCAACATATTGATTTTATTGATTGTTATACATTTTATTTTAATTATTTTTTTAATTCTATTATTTTTGTTGTTATAAAAATTATTATTAAATATAATATTTTATTAATACATAATTAATAAAATATTATTTTATTTATATGCTTTTATTTTATTTAACAATAAGATTATTTTTAACATTAATAAATTAATTACATTTATTATAATTTATTTTTATATTTACTTTGATACTTTGATACAATAATTACATCTATAATTTAATTGTTTTAGTATTATGTTATTACATTATTATTATTTTTTCATAAGGTATAAATTTCATTTCGAATTAATAAAAAATTTAAATATTGCTGAAAATTTTTAAAAATATGAAATTTTTTAAAAAATACATAAATAAATCAATATATTATATTTAATTAATTAAATTCTTTAAAATTAAAGAAAATATTAATTTTTAAAATTTAATAAAAAAATTAATTTCTTTATTTATGTAAAAATGTTATAACTAAAGGAGACGAAGCAGTACTTTAAACTTAGTAACTGTCGCACTATTTGTTATATTAATTTATGCAGAATTTTTATTAATAATAGATTTATAAAATACAAAACGTATTAATAAATCCGTCAAAATATACTAATCAATAGCAATTTTTTTAATAAAAATCGGCAAAATATTTATTTTACAAAAATATTTATAAAATATATTTTTAAGTAAATTAGATAAATTAAAATAAAATAATAAATTGATAATTGATGGGTTTTTTAAATAAAAAATAAATAAATATTGGCTTTTATTATAAATTATTAAAAAAAATAAAAAATAATAAAATTAGTAATTTATAAAATATTTATCAATAAGTCTTATTACCTTTTTTTTTTTTTTTACTAATAATAAAAAAAGAAAAAATATACCCTTTATTATGAAAAAAATAGAAAATTATACATTTAATGTAGACAATATATTAGGACAAGGAGCCTAAAGCACAGTATATCTTGGATAAAACATCAAAACTAATTTCCCGGTCGCAATAAAAGTAATTGATTTACAAAAAATAACTGATGAATATATATGGACATTAATTTGTACTGAAATCGAAATAATGCGAAAAATATAAAGTTAGTATATTATATAATTACTAGATGTATATTAAACTGAAAATAATGCCTTTATAATAACAGAATTCTGCGAAGGTGGTGACTTGATATATTATATGAAAGTTAATAAATTATAATAAAAAGATGCAATTAAAATAATATTAAATATAATGGAAGGATTACATGATTTATAAAAATAGTAAATAATACATCGTGATTTGAAACCTGCTAATATACTATTTGATAAAAACAATAACGTTTTTAAAATTTCAGACTTTGGATTTGCTAGAATTGCTTAAAATTAAAATTTTCTTATGGATTCTTTAGTCGGAACTCCTCTTTATATGTCCCCTTAAATACTTAAAAACTAAAAATATTCAGCTAAATGCGATATCTGGAGTATTGGTTTAATATTTTATTAGTTAATTTATGGAAAAACTCCATGGCCATGTGCCACTATTGTTGATTTAGTCCAAAATATGTTCGAAAGTCCTTTATAATTTCCAAAATTAGGATAGTTCGGTGAAATTATTGATGAAAATATTAAATTAATTATAAAAGGATGCCTTTAATTTGAAGAAAATGAAAGGTTTTCATTACAAGATTTATTTGAATGTTTTTTATTTTCAGATAAGAAAGATAATTTTAATAAAAATAATGACTCAATATATTCTTTTGATTCGAAAAAAAAGTAATGTCCTAGTAAGAATATACAATTAAATGTGGCATCTAGTTCTTCAAAAAATTATGATATATTAAATATACCAACCGTAAAAATAAGCCTTTACAATATTAAAGAAATAAAATTAATAAATTAAAGATCATATACACCAAATATATAAAAAAATTATTAAAATAATAATCGTACTTCTTTTAATTAAAAACAAAAGTAATCTTCTGCCAAAAAATTTAATTAATTCACAACTTTAAATATATAAAATAATGATAAAATATCTTAAATTAAAAATTAATTATTAGGATTTTATCCTTTCAAAACATAAGACATTCCAATTTAAAAATAAAATAGTATTAAAATTATTAATTGTTCTTAAAAAAAATCAGACTAGAAAAATCCTAATATTTATTTAAATATTAAAAAAAGGCAAAAACAGTATATGTAAAATTAATCTTTGAATATGTCCTATTAGAGGTAAAATTCTAAAAATAATATTAAAAACTAATAAAATTTAAAAATTATTTTAAAAAATTAAAATCAAATATAATTATTGTAATAATAAAAATAAATATCATAATAAAATACGTGTAAATAAGATTATAAATAATTAAGTAATGATTAAATATTATCTAATTAAAAAATTAGTTAAAGTTAAATAGATACATCTGATTAATCTTTATAAAAAATATAAATATTTTCATAAGAACTAAATTAAATGTCCATTAATAAAAAATATTAATTTCTAAATAACTTAGAAGCTAATATATTATTTAAATAATAATAAAATAATAATTAATTAAAAAAAAAAATTAAAAAAACATACTATTTAAATGATTAAATTAGAAGAAATTCTCATAATCAATTTACATATTAATCTTATTCATCAAATAAAAAATAATAACAATATTAATTGAATTAAATTTAAACTCCAAGATAAGAGTATTAGGAATAAAATTTGAAAAATATTTCAATTAATTAGCTTATGAAAAATTAATACAAAATTAATAATTTTTAATTATAAAATAAATATTTTTAATTATAAAATAAACAAATTTAAGAATAATAAAAATAAGATATTTATTAATTTGAATAATAGTAAATAAATATTTATAATGGAAGTGAAAAAAAAAATCATTTAAATAAATATGAAAATACATCTAATAATTAAATTTAAAAAATTTAAGAAATACTTTAAACATTAGTTAATTTTTGCAAATTTTTACTAAACCAATATAAAGTATTGTCAAACTTTAGCCATTTTTTCGAACCAAACTTTCTTTTGGAAAAAATATTATTTATTGTTCTTAAAAACTGCTTTATTAAAGTCTAAGTTTTGGATGAAAATATAAGCCTGAATAAATAAAATTCTTTTAATTTTGAAAAATGGGAGCTTTTTTTGCAATCTGATAAACTTTTTAGTATAAAAAATTAAATTCTTATTTTAAAAAGTTAAATTTAATTTAATTATGATAAATTTTATCTTTAGTTAAAACAAAATTTGTTATTCATATAAAATATTAGTAATGATTAATAGTTTTAATAAATATTTAATTATAATGTAAGAGAAGATATTGCTTTTTATACAATTAGTTCAGAATATATTAAATAACTTTTGTATATTTCTTATTAAATATTGAATTTAAGAGATAATAATTTTGAAAACCAAAATGATATAACTATTTATAATATTATAAAAAGTTTTCTTATTTACTTTTAAATTATGAAAATCAATATTATTAATTTTGATACTTTCTATATGTAGCTTTAATTTTAATTTAAAAATGTTTTAAATTAATTTAATGATTTAAGTAATTATTCAATCAATTTAGAAAAGCCTACAAATAAATAAAAAGAATAAATAATAAAATAAATTTCTTTAATTTGAATATATTTATAATTATTTTTCAATTCATATATATATATATATATATATATATATTAATGTACAATATATTGATTTATAAAGAAATTAAAATAAAAAATTTAATTAATATATTTATTAAAAAATAAAAATTAAAAATAATAAAGCTATTTTTATTTAAATAATTATATTTTATAATTATTGTCTATTTTGAGCAAAGGAGAAAAAAAAAAAATACTATTTAAAGGTAATTTAAATACAATAAAATATATTTATTTAATATAAATTATAATTAAATTAAAAAAATATCTAGTAAAAAATAAAAAGAATACTAAAAATGTCAGAAAGAGAAATTTTAAAAAAATCTTTTAACGAAGAATCTATAAAAGAATTTATATAAAGTGGAATGAATAAATTTAAAGAATTAGTTGATGAAGAAGTAAACGAATCGATTTTACAGTAAAAATTAAAAAAAAGTTAACATATATATAATAATAAATAAAGATACTCTATCGAATGGTTTAAAAGTTATTTAGATAATGATGTAGGTTTAGATGATTATAAAAATGAAATTTAATAACTAAATAATGTAATTTAATTTAGTTTTTTTAATTTAAATCTAAATTTATTAAAGGATTAATATACTAAAAAAATGGTTGAATTAGTTGAAAATGCTTTTAATGGTTTAAAAACCAAATCCACCTTAAATCCCGGAAATCCCGGAAATGTTGAAAATGGGCCCGGTAGTAATTTTTTTCTATTTTTTAATTTTTTTTTTTTTTTTAAAATAAAATTAAAAGCCCCCAATTAGGGTTTTAATTTTCAATTTTTTTCCGGGTTTTTTTGAAAATAATCAATTTTAAAAAAAAAAAAAAAAAATGAAAAAATTAAAAAATGAAAAAAAAAATGAAAAAAAAAATAATAATAAAAAAAAAAAAAAATGGGGGATTTTTAAATTTATGTGTTTTGATATGCATTAAAAATAATCTAAATGGGAGATTTAAATAATATTAAAAATAGATATTAGAATCGAAAAAAAAAAAAAAAAAAAAATAGGATAAATTAAATATAAAAAAATTATCTCCCATATATTTATATTATAAAATTTATATAAAAAATCAATATTTAATATTCATTTATATAATAAAGTAATAATCTATTCACTCTAAAATATAACGAAAAAACGTTAATACCAAGCCTCCAGTAGTACCGAATGTAGCTGATGTGAAAAA